CTAAATAACTTACTAATAACTTATATATTATTTTATCTACTCGGTATAAGCTAGGGGTGAACATTCGGTCGATTCAAATGGATATGTTTTACAATTGATCAAACTGATTACAACCGAAATCTATAACCCTATAACCCAAAAAGCCGAACAAATCTAAATTTTTATAAATCGAAACGACCGAATCAAATTTTGATTCGGTTTAAACGATCTGGCCTTGAACAACCAAAATTTAATTGTTTATTAAAATTTAGCTAAGAAAAAGCATTACAAATTACATAGCTCATCCACATAATATTGATTTGATTTCCTGAATCCTCTATTTATTTCAATCAAACATTAAATATAGTAAAAAATTTGATTTTCTTTTTTTATTATGAAATTAAAACATAGTAAATTTTTTTAATAAAATATCGGTTTTCCGGTTTGTTCGATTAAATGAAATTAAAACCAAACCGAAAACAGAAAATTAAAGATTGAAGTATTAAAAATCGTAAAACAAATCAAATTTTAAAATCGAACCGAATCAACCAAACGTGATTTGTTTGGTTTTTCGGTTTTGACCAAATAATGCACACCCCTAGTATAAACTATTTCGATGTTAATTTAGAATATATTCAAGTACTTTTTATTTAGATTCGTAAAGTCATTTGTTAATAATATTAAATAAAAAATCAAGTACTCATTCAAATAGTTAAAATGTTGATTTCAAATGAGGGAGGGTGAAAGGGTTTCCCCTTAAATTTAAGGGTGCAAAGCTTTTATAATTGACGTAAGGTTCGTTTACATACATAGCACACAATTATAATGTATTTTCATAACTCACATCTAAACTTCATATTTTACACTCTTGACACCCAAATCTTTAATATCACATAAAGAATAACATTATTGCCACCTTTTAAAAATGAAATGCACATTTCCAGCATAAGTTTAAAGCACCAAATTTCTGTATGTGTAAATATGAAAGTTCAGTGTGAGATGTGTTAATACATAAGAATTGTGTGCTATGTATGTAAATTTCCCTTACGTAAGGGGCATTTACATACATAGCACACAATTCTAACGTATTCACATATCTCACACCTAAACTTAAGTATTTTTAACACATAACACTCAAATCTTTAATATCACATCAAAAGTAATATTATTATCACTTTTTAAAAATAAAATGCACCTTATCATGCATAGATTTACGTAAGTGCATGAGGATTTAAAGCTGAAATTTTTATATCATACATAAGCCATGTGGAGTTTTCTTTTTAATATGAAGAAAGCAAGAGTCGCCGCTAGTCTCTCTTTGCTCTACTACTGGTTCAAGGCAAGTTCTGATTTTCATTCAACTACAGCGGGCTATAACTAGGTTTATCTAAAATACGCCTTGGAACCATCTTTTAAAGTTTCTCTGATTTTCCATACTTAGAGAAGCATTTATTCTTCCAGTTTTGCATGAAAAGAAAAATTGTTGCAGTTTTAATGATGTTATTGGCTAAGTGATAGTGCAAATTATAGTTAGTTTATGGAAATTATCAATATGTTTTTATCATGGGTAAATTTATAAAATATATACATAACTGAGAGTTGAAAAATAGAAACAGAAATATGATCAGCACACAAAACACACAGCAATTGCTATGGCTGACGATTCCACCAGTATTTGATTGTCAACTTATTTCATTTTATTTTCTGGGTATTTACATACATGCAGCCTAATTCCTATGTATTTACATACTTGACACCTAAACTTTGCTTTCTACATTTGTACCACTCAATTTTAATTTTTTAAAACTGATATTCTGAGATACAGCTTTTCATGCATACATAAGGTTGCATATATGTAAAAATAGACGTTTCGGTGTTAGATATGTAAATACTTGGGAATTGAGTGGTATAGATGTAAATCTTCTGTTTTTTTTCCTGTAATTCGCAATTATCAGGTTGGTCTTCTCCTCCGGGCAATGGGCTATCCTTCAGACACCATGATATATTTAGCTGGCGCCCAAACATTTGGCGGCCAACGGAATCTTGTTCCTTTGTGAGCAATGTACACAAATTTGGTCGACCGCACCTCTATGTACTCAAAAAGAGTTATCTGTCCTATTGGGCTCCGAATATCCGATTCCTTCATATCTCCGTAATCCTCCGCCTCGAAAAACCAAGGAAGAGCTTATCCGAGAATGGAATAAAGCCATGTCTCGACCGAGACCGCTTCCTCCGCCTCCTGCCAGGCCTTTCTATCAGCACGAGAAGGAACGATGGTATGGTTGGATTGCAGAGAAAGACAGCGAACCAGAGCCTTCGTTAACGGAGATGAGGATGCAGGCGCACAGGATGATATGGAATGTCATTGATTATCATGTTTCTGTTGAAGCTGATGTTTTTTTTCCAGGATTTCATAATGATGGGAGCGGCTGGCCGGATTTTTCGAGTCTAGTTATGGGCCATCGTTCGTACCAGATGTCGGCTTCTCCAACTTTCCGACTCGACAGGTATTACTGAAAAAGAGTAATGTGTCAAAGTAGTCTTCTGACAATTTAGGTGAGATCATTTAAGTCTCGTAGTTTATAAGTGTTAAATTAGTCTACATATTTTTTTTAATTGGGACTGACATAGGTCTTCATGCGGATTATTTCAGCCCCATATTAAAAGAGTTTGGGGGCTAAATTGATATTTTTATACTCTGAACTAAAATGATACTCTCCATAGAATCAGGAAGATATTTTGACACTTTGTCTCAGAAAAACTTATACCTGCAATTCTTTTCTTCCAAGTACAATTTTATCAGTGATTTTTTTTTTTTTTTTGTGATTTTAGTGCTATTCAAAGTGCTATTTTCTTTCTTACTTTGTTTTCATTTATCTTATTCAAACTTTTATTCAGTTCTTCGCGCCGACAATGAGGAGTTTATGAAATTAAAATCTACTTGGAAGTCATATATAATTTATAACATATTCACATCACCATGTATAGATGAATACATACATAACACTTCTACAATTATGAAGGTATGAATAAGATCCCACGAGATTAAATATATATATGTATTTACATATCAAACACCTGGACTGTAACATTTACATAAATCCCACCTTACCCATGTATATTTCACTTTTTAAAAGTTAAAATAATGGTTTATTAGATCTGATATGAAAGATTTGAGTGGCATAAACGTAAAAATGCTAAGTTTAAATGTTACATATGTGAATACATTTGAATTGGGTGTTACGTCTGTCTCTATAAGGTTGTGCCAATCACGATCAACCAATGACTTGTTCGTGTTTTACTCGATCAAATAAACAAAGCTTATAAAAGCTGGTCCAACTCTAGATGATTAACTTATTTTTTTCTTTGGATTCTTACTCTTATCTTAGTTTTCCTTACAAAAGACTGTCCGGTCAGAGGAGAGTTTCTTTATAGGGAAATTTACATTCCTAGCACACAATTCTTATGTATTTATATATCTCACACCTAAACTTACATATTTCTATACATTGCACTTTGTTTCTTTAAATCTATGTATCAAAAGATATGTTTCTCTTTTAAGAATTGGTTAAAGTGCTATTTTTTATGCGATATTAAAAATCAAGTGCGCTTATAAATGAAAGTTTAGGTGTGAGATATGTAAATACATGAGAATTGTGTGGTATGTATGTATATTTCCTTATTTTTAACTGATTTCTACCCTTCATAACAAACCTGTTCTCATGACAGAAAAAATATTGTCAAACTATTAGACACCATAAGGGACAACCTCTATCATCCAAAACAAAACTGGACAATATCTCAGTATGCCGACATCTTAACGATAGCCTCGGCATCGCCGGCTTCATATCGGCGGCCGAAAAATCGAAACCAAATTCATTCATTTCCCATCCCCTCCCAGAATGCTCCTGCAGAGTAGCATCAAATCCATCAGAAATACCGAAACCTCTGATTGGTTTCGATGGCCGGATATTGTATGTTGATGAGGAAAGATGCCCGGTGTGGTTGTCACGAGGCCTCGAGACGGTCGTTCGAGATTCAAGAGACGTGAATGAAGAAAGCAACGAGATCCCTGAAGATGAGCTCTATTCAGAGCAGCAGGATCAGGATTCTGGTGATGGAGGCAGGGGAGAACGGGATGATGAAATAGATCCAGAGGATTAGAATGGAAACTGGTACAGATTGTCATCAAATTAAAGTAATCTAATGATTTTTATTATTATTATTTTATTTTATATGATTTTATTAATTTATGCATTCAAACTGCATGTTTTGTAGGATAGGTGCAGATTTATATTTTGCAGATTTTTTTTATTAATACTTTTTACAATTTTGATAACTCATTAAATTTGATTCATGGGTTGTATAGAAGTGTTGCCAACTGTTGGCAATAGATTTTACTTTGGTTGTTTTAGTTTGGAGCATTTACATACATGTACAAAACAATGCTTATGAATTTATATTGAACTCCTCCTATACTTTAATTTTTTTACATTTCTAACATCGAAATCTTTCATATCATAACAAAAATATCACTATGATTAACTTTTGCAAATGTAAAATATACTTCTTTTATATAAATTCAAGGTTTAGGGGTTACATATGTAAATACATAGGAATTGTTTGGCATTGTCCTCTTGTTCCTTATAGATTGTTACTTGACACTGGATTGCAAAATGCTGGCAATTTCAATTTCAAATACGGGGTATTTTAGTACAATTGGTCCATCAGATACTCTGCCTGTGGATTACATGACGTAATATTCATATATATATATAGTAGATTTATGTAGTATAGATAAAAATGTCTACAAAGCCAATTATTTCAAATTTTTGCATTTAGAACAGCTAATTAAAAAAAATTATAGGCCGCTTAACTGTTTAATTTCAATAAATCTTGTCAATTAGCTTCATTATAACAACTCAATATACATCATTAATATAAATAAATCACTAAACCGAATAATTACGCAATATTACTCATCAAAACAAACCAAACTCAAATAAACCGCACAATATATTCTAACTTGCTACCATCCTTTCATATCTAACAACAGAGCAGAACACAAAAAAAAAAAAGTCTTTCAGCTTAACCAAAAGTTAATATGAGATAACTTCCATTAAAACAACTGCTGTGGCTGCGAAGCAATTTTTATCTGCAAAATTAGATCCGAGGCAGGGAAATAGGATTAAGTCAATAAAATTGCTGAATTTATGCTTAAATGATAACTTCTATATAAAGAATCAAATACCTCTAAAATCTCAAAGGCTAAACATTTCAGATGAGTTCGCATTAATCTTCACTAGCCAAATGTTGCTATCAGAAAAGCCTTGTAGATGCTCATGAACTTGGCCACAAAAGCTGTGTAATAAAAAAATGGTTATGGGTAGATATGTAAATACATAAGGTCTGTTAGGTACAGTTACATCTGCATGTAAAATTAATTGTAAAATTATTGTTCAAAAAAAAGTTTTCAAAGCTGAAATGATGCAATATAGTTTTTATTTTATTCTCATGTAAATTTCACATAATTCTCATGTACTTTATTTATCTTTCATTTAAACTTTTATATTTATTTTATCTAATAATAAACTTATTGATATAATATCTAAAATATGACTAATATTAATATTAATTTTTTTCTGAAGTGCACACCTTGTCATATATATGCGAATGTGATTATCACACTAAGTGTTACACAAGTAATTAACAAAGTTTAGATGTTTAATATTAAAAAACATGCTAATTATATAGCATGGATCTAAATCCCCCTAAATTTTTATCTCTCTAAAGAGATGAACAAAGATTTTCTGACAACTATCACCACATAATTTTCTAATATATATATATATATATATATATTCATATATATAAAATGTCTGTAAATATTTGCATAGCAATAACCTATAAAGTTTTGAAAAAAACTGTCCCAATCTCAATCTAAAGTCTCTCATATAATTGGAATGGAAGGAAGTTTTAGGGATTTTTACTTGAGAACAACTCAAAACATTGAATATAACATTTTACCCATCCAAAATTTTCACTCAAAGCCTTCACTATAAGGTAAGGAGGATAGCTGTAATTAAAAAAAATATATATTAAAATATTATGTCTAAAGTTTAAGTGATTAAAATGTTATATTTAATGTTTTGAATGGTTAGCATGCAAAAATCCTTAACTACCTTCTATATGAAATATTGCCTTCTGACCAAGTCTCATCCTGTGCTCCTGCAGAAAACATATTAACAAAATCACACCACCAAACATAATGATACGAAATTTAAGTTGAAAAAAAAGGGGGCGTTTATATACTTACCATATAATTCTTACTATGCATTTACATATCTAGCACCTAAATATTCATAGTTACATACCACTAAAATGTTTAATATCACAAAAAATACCACAAATGTTATCTTTGTAAAAGTGAAAAACACTTTTTTGGGCATAAGTTTATGAAACCAAAATGCAAAAAATGTAAACATTAAACTTCGGGTGTTAAAAATGTAAAAACATAAGAACAGTTGTGGTATTTATGTAAATTTAAAAAAAAAAATGAAAATGTGGCAAACAAAAATAGGTGAAGTTCCCATAAAACCACAAAAGGTAAGTAGCTAATAAAATACACCAAACAACATGAATTTCCCATCCACTGAACAATTTCTCCAACAACTCTTCATATTATGTTGACAGGGCAGTTGCCTCTAATCAAAATGCTCCATGAATTGAAGCTTGCTAATGATAAAGACTCTAAATTTGCTTTAGAAAAGAATAATAATGACTCCATGTTTATTTATCATGCAATTTTTTTCAAGATTTACGGCAAGACGGTACCATTAGTAGCCTAGAACGGTATCAATGACACCTAAACTTTGTTTTTTTACATTTATACCTAACATCTCCATGCTTGCTAAGAAGGCTTATATTAGAGACTGTATGAGCGGTATAGCAATACCATGTCACTTTTTAGAGCGGTATAACAATATCATGTCACTTTTTAAAAACAGTTTCGCATTTTACAAAAAAAAAGGAAGATTTACATACATACCACAAAATTGCTATGCATTCATATCTAACACAAAAATTCAATTTTTACATACATAGCTTACTAAAGAATGAAAAGATCTATTTTACTATTTAAAAATTAAAATGGTGGAATTTATGTGATATGAAAGATTCGGATGGCATACAAGTAAAAAGCAAAATTTAGGTTTTAGATATGTAAATTTATAAGAATATGTGATTCGTATGTAAATGCCCCAAAAAAATATCATCTAATGGGATTTGTAAGCATGCATAAATAGATCAAGCCTAGTCTTACCATGCATCACATAAACATCCAAGTTGCTACCTTTGTACAAAGCAAATCCAAGACAGGGATTTAGAAAGTTTGAGAAGTAATCCAAGTCCGACAGGAAGATTCTTGAGATAATTGAATCTATAAAAATAATGAATCTAACAGACTCCTGATGAGCCCAACCATAGATTCTGTTCCAAACTGATGAGCTTTTGATAAGCATGGATTTCAGAGTGTAGATCGATGAAATTTCCCGCTTAAGGTTAATGCAATTATGAATGGTAAGTAATCACCTCTAGGTCCGATGAACATTGTTTTTCTTGCACAGAATCACAGCATCCATTTGGGTTCGGATACCTATGATCATTGCTGCATAAATTAAAATTCTCTATTTGGGGTTGCTATACTATAGTAACTGCTACCTAAGCTACTCTTTAGCTCTCCCTCAATCCTCCCCACTTCCTGAAAAGACAACTTCACACGTACCAGCTACAAAGTTTGTGCGAGCAAGACATTGCCAATGCAGCAATTACCTTGCTTCTTGTTGATCTCCCTTTCTCTTTCTCTTCATAGCTTTTGTAATAACCTCACAATAATTACTTGTTTGGAATTATGAATTAAACCACAGAAAAAAAGAAATTCCTCCAAATTTTCTTCCAATCTAGCATGAACAATTCGAGTTTAATCTAATTAAATGCACTCGATTACCACAAATGTGACCAACAACACCTTAATTCAAGACATCAAGCCTGTTTCTAGTCCAAATCAAATGAAAATGGTAGACCAACATTATTTTCAGAAGTCCCTCATTGATTAAAATAAGCTCAATGAATTTAATTAGGCCATTTCAATAAGGTTTTATGCATCATGTTAAAAAATATAAAAAAAGGCAATAAATTTAGATCACCAATTCCATTTCATATAACATCTACAAGGGTAGGAGATTTGTCAGTAATCCAATTCATTATTTACAAGGGCCTAATCTCCATGTTGTATAAATTAATCGTTTATAAAATCTCAATTAAGAAACCTGAAGTTGGCTCTAAAATTCGTGCCAAAACATATGCAATAACAAAAGAACAAGATTCTGATCACACTTCTCAGTGGATCACACCAAATTCAAGATCTCGTGTCAAAACACAATAACCATACATAATTTGAAGAATAAATTCATCTCTATCAAGTAAACTCAAGATTAAAAACATTTTTGATCTAAGGAAGCCCCTTGGATGAATAAACCAATAATTCCTAATCAAGTAACCTTAAATAGGCGCTGATTGTGCATGAAATTATCTTCTTCTTTTTTTAGGGAGGGAGGGGATGGGGTTTACATGCCACACAATTGTCAAGTATTTTCATGTTTTCATGCATATATTATAACACCAAGATGTTATAAATGTAAATATCAAACTTTAGGTAAGAACATAAGATTTGCATGGTTTCATAAAATCACGCATATGTAAACATCCTTTTTTTCTATGCAAAATAAATAAAGAAAACATCATGTCACAATCAGTGCCACTGATAGCATATGTTGAAAACGTAGTCAATTTTCCCACACTCTAAATCGAGATACATATAACTCGGCACTGATAAACCTTTAAAGTTGACCATGTCCATCAGATAATAAAGAACCCCTTCATCTAGGAGTAGAAAAAAGCACTCCTGTTAGTGGCAATAAAGAATCCCACCTTGATAGAACCCTCACCATAATGTGAAATTTCAGGCAACTCTCTAGCTTCAATATTGCTGAATTCATAATAATAAACTAAATTTTTGACTCGGCACTATTATCACGCCTAAATTTTATATATCATGATAAACAAAACTAAAATGCTTCATAACTCTAAAGATCTACCATTAGACATGAAGATCTAACACCACTACAATTATAAAACAATGAAATTGTGATGCAAGTCTAAAATAGAAACAAATCATTAATTCTTCCATTACGATCTTAAAATATTTAAAATCAATAAAAAAAATCATTGATGTTAAAAAGTATACCTCAACCGTATTTTGATACATATAAAAAAAAAGAATTTGTTTAATTTTCTCTCCCAAACACATATTGAATATTGAATACTTACATAGTATGCAGCCCAGTGACAAACTTCATGCTTTAACTCGGAATCTAGCTTCTTCAATAACTCTGATAATAATCTCTGCCAAAATTTAGCGAAATTTAAATCAAGTTTGCAATAAAGAATAAAATAGACTGAAGTATTTGGACGTGCAAAAAAAAAAATTTTCTTTTAACATGATAAATAAAACCACATGTGGAAATTAATCACCTTTAGAATCATTTCAGGAGGAATGCAGTTAACAAGAAGCTCATATACTTTTCCGCGTACTTGAAATAACCTGTGAATATTTAGATTGATGAATTAAATCTAACGCAAGTAAATTACGAAGTAAGAGGAAAAGAAGCCCATCCTGCAGATTGATAAGTGATATTTTAATGAACCACATATGAAATACAATGATCATTCATGATTTTTTAAACATTTCAAACGTGATTTAAAGCAATCAATTAATTAAAAATGACCTAACTATGAGATATTCGGAAGGGATAATCTTTTAAGGTGCCTTGAGATCAAATGAAACGAAAAAGTAATATTTACATGCATACCAATCAATTCCTATTTATTAACATATCTAACACCTAAACTTCATTTTATACATACATGCTACCATACCTATGCATGAAAAGGTGTAGTTCACCTTTTAGAAGTCATAATGGTGGTAATTTTTATATGATATGAAAGATTTGGGTGGCATGAATGTAAATGTAAAACTTAGGTGTTAGATTTGTAAATATATATAAACTTGGTTGCACGAATGTAAATGCCCAAAAGAAAAAAAAACATCCATTTTGGCATGCTACAGTACACATCAAAAACATCTTGATATATGTGCTACATAATGCTAAAAAACATCCCCAAAATTTATTATAATGAGAAAATTTACCAAAGAACACCCTTCCTCATCATGTGGTGGTTCACTGTTTCAGTGACCGTAACAAATGGCATTTTGACAGCCCCAGAATGCACAATATTAACAATCCAAGCCTTAACTGAACTGAAAATCTAACTTATAATAAGTAATATAGAATTATGACTCCATCTAAATTTGACAATCATGTGATTCACGCCATAAATTTTTGTAGATTAAACAAACAATGTTATAATTTTGATGAATTATCAAAGAGAGATTTACATACATGCATAATTCTTATGTAATTATATATCTATACCGAAAGTTTCATATGTAGAAGCATTGCACTAAAATCTTTAAAATTGATCAAAAATATCACTACAACTAACTCATAAAAGTGAAATACACTTTTTTGTGCATGGATTTTAATGTGATTATTACACTGAAGTTTTATAAATATAAATACCAAATTTTAGGAATTAAATATTTAAATACATAAGAATTGTATGGCACGTTCGTAAATTTTCCATTATCAAAAGCAAACAATAAACATGAAAAATCCAGTTTGAAACCTTTTAGGGCTCTGCTCCTTCATTATGTCGGATGAAATTTCTGAGATATATTGTTCCCAGTCCATTGGTGGAATGGTTTGGTTCAATGTGAATGGATATCTAAAACCGAAATCAAATAAATTATAGTTGCAAAAAAATGAAAACCAATGCCAAGAAAGAAGAATAATAGGTACTAAATGTAGAAAAATGGAAAATAATAATCATAATAATAAAAGTAGAGAACTTGATAATGTATGACTCACTGCTGCACTCTACAGGTCTCAAAGGATAAGATTGCTCTTCTTAAACTTCGATTTGATTGAACAGCTATCCGTGCAGCAAATCCTGTTGGAAGCTGTAAACTTTCCTTTTTTGCAATAAATTCCAAAACTTCGATAATCTGATGGATCAGAATGTCATAATAAGGGTTATACATATACATCCATATCAATGATAACCCACAAGGATACAAAATAATCTTAAGATCATATTAAATCCACATGATTGAAGTGCATGGAAATATCTCCCACGTAAAAATATACAAAATATCTCCAATGTTTATACTAAATCTACTTACCACTAGAACATAGGAAGAATATATAGATAGTTCTGTAAATGCTACATAAGCTAAGTGACAAGTCAATTACATTCTAACAAAAGATCATACGGTCTGCTTGGGGCAGTTGCAGCTTATCCAGCTCATTCAGATAAGCAGCTTATCCTGATAAGCTGTTGACCAGCAGCTGATCTGAATAAACAGGCTGGTTGTTTGGTTTGTGCGTTTGGAAAACAACTGATTTGCAATTATTTCTGGATAAATAAACATTTTGCCCATGTGCATATATTTTAGTTTAATTTAGTCATTTTATATAAAATTTAGCATTAATTTTAATTTAGTCATTCTTATTCAATTATAGTTCAGTAAATTAATTTATAATTAAATATGATCTTTTATGAATTAAGCATTTATTAGTATTTATTAAGTTAATTTAAAATAAATTCTATATGAATAAATTAAATAAATAAATGTTATCAGATAATTAATATTAATTAATAAATAGATTCTATAGTTATAAGCAATAACATCAAACTTAAAGCATCTAATTCACAAATTTCTTTTATTGTTTGAGAAATTTACATATCATTTACTTAAACCATATAATTTACTCAAATAGTTAATATTAATTAATAAATAAATTAGCTCCTTCCTCTGCTCAGGCTCTGATTCATCGCAGCCCTATTCGTCTGATAACACCATGGAAACTCGTCGGAGGAGGAAAAAAGATGGGAGTTTCGAAGGGCTTTGTTAGTCACGATCCCGCAGTTGCCTTCCCAGCTAGCTCTAATCGCAATTGTATCGCTAGGGTTTCGATGATGAAGGCGAGGGTTTTTGGTCGGAGCAGAAGGAAGGCAGGAGCACGCGAAGAAGAGGGCAACAACGTCAAATGCAGAACAAAACGTGGAACCGCGGGGCTCCACCTGCGGCGGGCATTTAATTAAAAAGCAAAACAGAGTTTTCAAAAAAGCTTTTCAAACTCATTTTTCAAACAGCAAGGCAGAGTTTTCAAAACGCCACCGCGGCTGATAAGCTGCCCCAAACGCACCCTTAAACTACAAACGTGCGAGCCTGTAAGGAAAGTTTTTATTTTAGGCTGTGTGGTATCAAAGCTTAATAATCCTGTATTTTATTTACATGTGAAAATTACATATGATATAATTATATAAAAAGAAACATCCACCTTCAAAGACAAACAAAGAATAGATATTTACTTAATTGTATTACGAAAAAAATAAATAAATAAGAAATAAAAGTACTAATAATCCACATAAAATATAAGGTGCATTTACATACATAGCAAACAATTCTTATGTATTTACACTTGTCACATCTCAACTTTCATACTTAAACATAAGGCATTCAAATCTTTAATATCCCATCAAACATAGCCTGACACCACTCTTTAAAAGTGAAATCCACTTTTTTCATGCATAGGATTAAAGCACCAAAGTGTAATGTAAATATGAAAATCTGGGTGTGAGATATGTAACTCAATGAGAATTGTGTGCTACTTATTTAAATTTTAAAAAATATAAAAGCTGACAGCATAACAATTGAATCATGTACATCAATCAATTTATCATGACAAACCAAGTAAAACAAGCAACCATAACGATCACAGCTAGACAATATGGATGCCCAGGAACTCAAAATTGACAAGTCATAACAAAAATTAGTGTTGAAAGATAACGAAAGATTTGCGTACATACCACTCAATGCAAATGTATTTACATACCTAACACCTAAACTTTAATTTTTATATATATACCATCTTACCTATGTATGAAAATGTGTATCACTTTTTAAAAACTAAGAGTGTGGTAATTCAGATGTAATATGAAAGTTTGGGTGGTATAAATATTAAAAGTTCAAGATGTTATACATGTAAATACATAGGAATTGGGTGGTATGTACATAAGTGCCTCAAAGCTAAATTATACAAAAATAGCCACACCAACCTGCTCAGAAGTCGGTGCACTGACACGCACATTTAGACAGCGAGATCTAACAGCCTCGGTAACCCTAGAAGAGCTATTGCAGCATAAAATTAACCGACAGGATGAACTATACTTCTCCATGGTTCTCCTGAGAGAATGTTGTGCCTCTTTTGAAAGCTTGTCCACTTCATTCAATACTAAAACTGAAGTAAATAAAATGAGTTATTACACGTCCAATTTTCAAAGAAAAATGATCAAAATATAAAGTATGATAGAGAATACCAGGGCATGATTAAGTATGGTTCATATTATTAAAAAAAAAAACTCAAAGGTCTTGACATTACATTTTTACATCTCACACTTATAGTTTCACATTTACACACATACCACTCAAATCTTTGATATCACATCAATTTTTTAAAATTCAACTACAACTTTTCACACATAGGTGTAAATTTCCCTCTTCTGTTTAAAAAAATTCCAGGCACATTCCATCTGAGCACAAAATTTCTACAACTTGTATCATGTGCAATTCCTACTAGAGGATGATTCAAATCTGCTTTTCAAATGAAACTTAACATCTGGGATTTGGAGAAGATTTCATTCTCTCTGGATTTCTAATACTTCAACCTCTTAAGTATTAAGTCCTCATTTTTTCCTCAATAGAGCTTTATATCAAGGATGCTGCAAAAGCCATATTTTATATCATGGATACTGTCGGTCAACTTTTTTCTCTCTTCTGAAAAAATGACTTAATTTAATTTAAGAGGTATATAATTTTTTTTACTTTTGAAAATAGTGTGTTTTAATTTAAAAAAAATGAGATCAAATGAATCTCATTCGTCTAATAGTTTACATAATCGTGTCCGATATCGCGAATAATACACCTTCCCGAAAGATAAGTGTATCCCTCGGCGATGGACCCAATCATACAAACTAAGAGATTTGTGACATATGTTTGGTCTACAAAGCTTCTGTGTGATCAACAAATTCTCCTATCAAATACAAAAATTAAATTGAGTTTATTTTACCTTGGTTTCAAGTTCCCTATAGAGGCAAACTCCTATAGTTAATTACATTTCAAATGACCGAAGTCACTTAAGAAAACTCTCAATTAAGATTAGTGGTTTTGTATTCAAGATTCCAAAATTTAGTTTTCAAGGTTGCTAGTGGGAAGAGTCCAGTAAGAAATGACAAAATAGATACAGTTATTTTGGGAGGCCAAAATAGTGAGAGGTAG